CCGGGCGGTCCAGAGTGCCTGCCCGCGTGGGGGCCCTGCGGGTCTTTGGCGCCCCAGGTGCCCCTGCTTCCTCGCACAGCACTTCTCTGTGGGACGAACGTTCCCGCTTTCTTGCTGCTGGTGGTTCGGGGGACACAGGGCCAGGCCCGGAGAACAGCTCATAGGTTCCAGGGGGGTAGGGCGGGCGGGCAGGGCGGGGAGCCAGGCCGGGCCTGCAAAGGTTATGGGTCAGGGTCAGGGTTAGAGTTTAGTCAGGGTTATAGGTTAGCATCACGGTTAGAGTTACAGCTTAGGGTTAGGTTTAGAGTTTAGGGTTAGGATTAGAGGTTAGGGTTAGACGATAGGGCTAGGGTTAGAGCTTAGAGTCAGGGTTATAGGTTAGCATCACGATTAGGGTTAGAGTTTAGGGTTAGCGTTAGAACTTAGGGTTAGAGTTTAGGGTTATGGTTAGGGTTAGTGTTAGGGTAAGAAATTAGGGTTAGGGTTAGAGCATATAGTTAAGGTTTATGGTTAGGTTTAGAACTTAGGGTTAGGGTTAGAAGTTTGTGCTAGGATTATATTTAGGGTTAGGGTTAGAGGTTAGGGTTAGGTTTAGAGTTTAGGGTTAGAGGTTAGCATTAGAGTTAGGGTTAGAGTTTAGAGTCAGGGTTACAAGTTATTATGGTTAAGGCTATAGCTTAGAGTTAGGGTTAGAACTTAGGGTTATGGGTAGGGTTAGAGCAGCGGTTCTCAACCTGTGGGTCGCGACCATCGGAAAACACATATAGCATATCAGATATTTACATTACGATTCATAACAGTAGCAACATTACAGTGATGAAGTAGCAACGAAAATAATTTTATGGTTGGGGGTCACCACAACATGAGGAACTGTATTAAAGGGTCGCGGCATTAGGAAGGTTGAGAACCACTGGGTTAGAGGTTAGGTTAAGGTTAGGGTTGAGGTTAGAACTTAGGGTTAGAGGTTAGGATTGGGTTTAGGGTTATAGTTTAGGGCTAGGGTTAGAACTTCGAGCCTGGGTTAGAGGTTAGCATTACAGTTAGTGCTATAGGTTAAGGTTAGAGTTAGGGTTAGAGTTTAGGATTAGAGGTTAAGGCTAGGGTTCATGTTATAGCTTAGGGTTAGAGGTTAGGGTTAGGTGTTAGGGCTAGAGTTAGGGTTATAGCTTAGAGTTAGTGTTAGGGCTAGGGTTAGAGCTTAGGGTTAGAGTTTAGGGTTATGGTTAGCATTAAGGTTAGAGGTTAGGGCTAGGGTTAGGGTTAGAGCTTATGGTTAGGGTGGGGCTAGAGCTTAGGGGTAAGGGTAGGGTTAGAGCTTAGAGTCAGGGTTATAGGTTAGTATCATGGTTAGGGTCATAGCTTAGGGTTAGGGTGAGAGCTTAGGGTTTAAGGTTAGGGCTAGAACTTAGGGATTTAGGGTTAGGGTTAGAGCTTAGGGTTAGTGTTAGGGTTAGGTTTAGAGTTTAGGGTTAGTCTTAGAAATTAGGGTTAGGATTAGAGGTTAGGGTTAGAGGTTAGGGCTAGGGATAGAGGTTAGGGGTAGGGTTAGGGTTAGACCTAGGATTAGGGTTAGGGTTAGGGTTAGAGCTAGAGTTAGGGTTAGGGTTTGGGTTAGAGCCAGGGCTAGAGTTAGGATTAGGGTTGGGGTTAGGGTTAGGGTTAGGGTTAGCTTAGGGTTAGAGCAGTGATTCCCAAAGTGGGCGCTACCGCCCCCTGGTAGGCGCTGCAGCGATCCAGAGGGGGCGGTGATGGCCACAGGTGCATTTGGGGGCGATGAGTAACTGCTATTAAAATTTAAAAAAAAATAATTTCCAGGGGCTGAGTAATATTTTTTCTGGAAAGGGGGCGGTAGGCCAAATAAGTTTGGGAACCACTGGGTTAGAGGCTAGGGTTAGGGTTAGAGCTAGGGTTAGGCTTATGATTAGGGTTAGGTTTAGAGCTACGGTTAGGGTTAGCTTTAGGGTTAGAACCAGGGGTAGGGTTAGAGGTTAGTTTTAGGGTTAGGGTTGGGGTTAGGGTGATACGGTTAGGGTTAGAGCTAGGGTTAGGGTTAGAGCTTAGGGTTAGAGTTTAGGGTTTTGGTTTGGAGTTTAGCGTTTAGGATTACTGTTAGGGTTAGAGCTAGGGTTAGGGTTAGAGTTTAGGATTTGGGTTAGGGTTAGAGCTAGGGTTAGTGTTAGGGTTAGAGGTTAGGGTTAAGGTTAGGTTTAGAGCTAGGTTTAAGGTTAGGGTTAAAGTTAGGGTTAGAGCTAGGTTTAGGGTTAGACCTAGTGGTTAGGCCTAGGGTTAGGATTATGGTTAGAGCTAGGGTTAGGTTTAGAGGTTAGGGTTAGTGTTAGAGTTAAGGTTTGAGCTATGGTTAGGGTTAGAGCCAGGGTTAGGTTTAGGGGTAGGGTTAGGGTTTGGGCCAGAGGTTAGGGTTAGAGCTAGCATTAGGGTTATAGCTTAGGGTTAGAGGTTAGGGTTTCGGTTAGGGTAGAGCTGTGTTTAGGGTTAGGGTTAGAGCTATGGTTACGGTTAGGGTTAGAGTGTATCGTTAGGGTTTATGGTTAGCTTTAGAACTTAGGGTTAGAAGTTAGGGTTAGGGTTAGAGTTTAGGTTTAGAGGTTAGGGTTAGGTTTGGAGCTTAGGCTTAGAGGTTAGCATTAGAGTTAGGGTTAGAATTTAGAGTCAGGGTTTGAAGTTATCATTATGGTTAGGGCCATAACTTAGGGTTAGGGTTAGAGCTTAGGGTTAAAGATTAGGATTTTGGTTAGACCTTAGGGCTAGAAGTTAGGGTTAGGGTTAGAGCTATGGTTAATATTAGGGTTAGGGTTAGAGCAAGGGTTAGGGTTATAACTTAGTATTAGTCGTTAGGGTTAGGTTTAGCGCTAGGGTTATGATGTGAGCTAGGGTTAAGGTTAGGGCTAGGGTTAGAGCAGTGGTTCTCAACCTGTGGGTCTCGACCCCTTTGGGGGTCGAACGACCCTTTCACAGGGGTCGCCTAAGACCATCGGAAAACACATACATAATTACATATTGTTTTTGTGATTAATCACTATGCTTTAATTATGTTTAATTTGTAACAAAGTAAATACATCCTGCATATCAGATATTTACATTACCATTCATAACAGTAGCAAAATTACAGTGATGAAGTAGGAATGAAAATAATTTTATGGATGGGGGTCACCACAACATGAGGAACTGTATTAAAGGGTTGCGGCATTAAGAAGGTTGAGAACCACTGGGTTAGAGCTATGGTTAGGGTTATGGGTAAGGTTAGGGTTAAGGTTAGATCTTAGGGTTAGATTTTAGGGTTAGGGTTAGATGTTGGCATTAAGGTTTGGGTTAGAGTTTAGGTTTATGGTTAGAGTTAGAGCTTAGAGTTAGTGTTAGAGGTTAATTTATGATTAGGTTTTGAGCTTTGATTTAGAGGTTAGATTTAGGGCTTAGGGTTAGGATTAGGGTTAGAGTTTAGGGCTATGGTTAGAGCTTAGGGTTAGGGTTAGAGCTTAGGGTTAGTGTTAGATGTTAGGGTTAGGTTTAGAGTTAGAACTTAAGTTTAGAGGTTAGTGTTAGGATTAGAGCTTAGGTTTAGGATTAGAGTTTAGGTTTAGGGTTAGATCTTAGGGTTAAGGTTAGAGGTTAGCATTAAGGTTTGGGTTAGAGGTTAGCTTTATGGTTAGAGTTAGAGCTTAGGGTTAGTGTTAGAGGTTAGTTTATGGTTAGGTTTAGAGCTTTGTGTTAGAGGTTAGTGTTAGGGCCTAGGATGAGGGTTAGGGTTAGAGCTTAGGGTTAGGGTTAAGGTTAGGGTTAGAGCTAGGGTTAGGGTAAGGGTTGGGGTTACTTACTAAGCCCTGTTTGTATTCTTTGGGGCATTTCTCAAAGTCCAGAGGCCTCTACCTGCCCCTGTCTGTTCGCTGAGTCACTGTGCAGCCACCTTGTGTATGGGTGTCACAGAGAACCCAGGACCCCGGGCAGCCTTGTCCACTGTGCACCTCTTCCCCGAGAGAAGGATGAGTGTTATTTGAAAAAGTGAAACCCTATTGTTTTTCTGCTTCTCAATTTAACACAAACTTGCATTGTAACAAATTCAAAATTTCAAACGGTGACAGTTCACAGCTACTGTCCAGTTGCTGGATGTTAGTCACGCCCACCTCGAGGCGCCCTTTGTTCCCTAAGGCTGGGTCCTGGGCGTCTTTGTGGGTCCCCTTAGGGATGTTTAGGTTTCTCTCCACCTTTCCCGACCATGAACCCGCTCGGTGACATCTGTGCGCAGGTGTGAGGTCTGAGGATGAAGGTGAGCCGCCGGGCCCAGCCCTCCTGCCAGCCTCGGACAGTAACCCGCTTGGCTTTTACAAGTGATGCAGGCACAGTATCTCCTGCCCTCCATGCTGCAGGTTCCGGCTCCTTCCGGCCGGGTGGTCTCGCCCCATCTGAGCGCTCTCTCCTGTGGCAGCTGAGGGCAGGGGCTAGCATCCGGGAAGGCGCAGTGCTCTCTGGGCGACTGGACCGGAGCCCCCTGCAGGCTCCCCGATAATCCAGCAGACGGTGGAACCTTGCTCCCGGAGACAGTACCCCATCCCCTCAGCTCGGGACGCCCACCTCAGGCGCCTTCTGCTTTGGACGTGGCGGCCCCTCAGGACGAGGGTGAGCTGCCCCCGGCCCTCGGTGAGACTCAGGTCCTCCCACTGTCGCAACACCCTCTCTAGCATGTCCCCCGTGGACCTCCCTGCTGCCCTCCCCACTGTGGCCCAGGGAGCACCCCTCCCTGGTCACTCGAGTCCGTTGTCACACATTTCACAAAACAGCAGCTTCAAAAATTAGCTTTTATTTGTTCTAAGGAACACGTACACAAGCAAGTGACAGGAAGGACGCGGCCGGCCCGAGGCCCCAGGCCCAGCTGTGGGTTCACCTGATCTGGTTAGACACTGTGTCAGCACAATCGCACCGGCCAGACCGGCTGCAGGGACGCGACGTCGTAACAGGATCGATTGACACACACACGAGTGATGCCCGAGGCGGAGGGGCTGGGTGGGCCGGCTCAAGCCTCTGTCTGTACCACGGAGGTGGGCGTGCGGGGGATGGGGGCACCTGCTGGCATGCGTGCAAACTGGCAGCCCTGGTGGACACACACCATCGGCCACGGCGGTCGGGCCCCCCGGGCCCCCCACCAGATGCACAGGAAGCAGGTTCAACCCCCACAGCCAGGCAGGCT